AATTGATAAACACAAAGCAGTTTTGGAGAGTCTGTGAGAGAGAGAGAGAGAGAGAGAGAGAGAGTGATAGGAAGAAAGAGAGAGAAAGCGAGTGAGAGAGTTAGGGTGTCTAAAAGTGAGAGATTGCATTGCTTATTGCACATGCGCTAAAGCTGAGCAACAAATTTTCAAGGTTAAAGTGCAACGAAACCGCAACAATACTTTTCACAACACATGCAACCCCAGGTGGCAGCTGCAGCTCGGAGGTGGGGGCGTATATTGGTTGCTGTCTATAGCCGCTCTCTTTAGCATAGATACACTTTATTTTTTGTTGTATATATTTGATAGCAATTTGAATTCGCATCAATTGAATAATAATTCGTTTTTTTTGCTGCTGCCCTTGAATTGCAAATATTAATTTCAAGCTTGCTGTTGCTTTTATTAGATAATGAGTGCAGCTATGCAACTAGTCTCATCGTCGCGCACACAAAAGATACACACTTTGAGATACTTTACACATATATGTGTGTGTGTGTATGTAGAAATTCGACGTGCGAGTCGTTTGCAATTTTTTGCATTCTATTCGCATGCACATTCTCGACTTGTGACTCAAGGTTATGATGATGATGATGCTCACTGACTGACTGACTGACTGACTGCAATCATCACCTCGCCCGCTGCTCGCAACCCCCTAGTGCAAAAAAGCTCTGGCAATTATTACAAATATACAGACACACTCGCACACACACTCACATGTGTTCAACTTAGCTAAGCACACAATATATATTTTATCAGCTGAATGCACCGCCCCAAGCCAATGCCTATAACCACCCTCCCCATCTCGCTGACCCTTCGCTCGACGCGTTTTTGTTTCGTTTTTGCATGCACATCAAATAAATGTTAGTACTCAACTCAACGTTACAACAATTCTGTCAGATATTGTCGCGTTTGTTGTTATTATTTCTCTAGGCGCTTTTGCATTTACATTTCCGGGTTGTTGCACGCCCGCGAAAATTGTCGAAGCGCTTTTTGTTGTGTAGATATTTGCAAATTGTTTTCTGTTCATGTTGTTGCTGCTGCTGTACTTGTATCTAGATACATAAACAACATAATTTATGCAGCAAGTAGTCTAAAAGATTGTATGTAAATAACTTTTATGTATATCATTATTCAATGCTGCTGAGATATAATGAAAAAAAATGTAGTTTTGGTTATTACTACACAACTGATTACACAGTGCATGTTGATTTTGAGATCTTGAAGAATATGTATTTTGTGCTAAAGTGCTGCACTTGTCATTAATGGAATAAATGATTGTCAACTTAAAATAATATTACACAGAAATCATTTGTAAAATTTGAGCAAAAAAGTAACATTCGCAATAAAATAAGAAGTTAGAAAAAATTATAAATTTAGAGCTCCAAAGTTTAAGTGGTTACCGGGAAAAGTTTAAGTGGTTACCGGGAAATCCCTCAATCAGTCTCTCTCTCCCTCTCTTTCATTTTTAGCTTGAGCTGCATTTGTAATTAACAATCGGTAATTAACAATCGGCTAACCTGCTCTCCAGTTTGCATTTAATTTATCTTGTTTATAGTTAGTCAACTTCCGCTACTTTGCTGAATTGTTCATAGTCATTTGCTTAACTGCTGCTGCGATTAACATGCATTTTTTGCTTGCCTGATGTCTAGAGAAATAATTTTGGGCACTGCAAAATGATCGAAACGCACCCCATAGCCCCACCTCTTTCAGAAACCAATATTTATACAGCACTTATAAATACATCGTAAAATTTGTTTATCGATTGGGACTACTTAACAGATATGCGTAGATTTCCTACACAGCACACTATTTGCACGGCCACACAGGGAGCACGGGCTGAGCAGTTGGTGCGAGCGCGTCGACAATATGTATAGCGATGCATTTTGTGGCCTTCATTGCAACAGTTATCAGTAATAGTATATATACATATATATATAGGCATGTATATAGGTAGTATTTGTTTGGTGCGAGTTGTATATGGGTTGCGGTTAGTACAGTTTGCGTTGCCTATCGCGCACTTGTCCTTGAGTCGAAATATCGCCATTTGGTTTTTATTATTATTGTTGCTGTTGCATTTTTCGTTTCGTTTCGCAACGCTTCCCCATTGCAATTTGATAAAGATCGATGCAGCCAACGACGAAGCGACGTTGCGGAAGTTTTTCACAGTCTAGAATAACAAAATTATTATGAGCATTGCATGCATACTTAGGTATACATTCACATGCACATATTTACATATATATGTTTACAATATATATATATATATTTGCAATATATATATTCATATGCATACAGTCGGGCGAATAGCGAACGCAACGTTAGCACCCGTAATGCAAGGCGTATGCGTAATGTGCAATACTTATCAAAATTCAAATGTACTAGAAGACGATGTGAATGACGATGGCAACGTCAGCGGGTCGAGTGCGTTCAAGTTGAATGTTAAACTCATTGCGAGCGTGTGATGAGTCGTTTTGGCTTGACAATTTTCCAAAAGTATCTACTCAATTGCTCAAAGCGGGTATACAGATTTCGTCTGTATGAATGCAATGGTTAAAGTAAATGACGGTTGCAAGCATGAGTAACGAATGAAATAATCATATGCAGCGCAATATTATAAAAAAAATAATATATAATATACAATTCACCAACGATTATTGTAGAGTACCCTTTTAAATATAGATAAGTCTGATAATTAAATTAAATTGCCTCGTTTTTATTTTCAACTCTAGGGTATTTGATAAGCACTGCGATTGGCAACCATTTTGATTGGAACACACAATGCGTTCGTCGTGTTCGTGTGCAAGGGAGCAAGTGTGTGTGGCTTTTATTTATTTTTAGTCTACTGCGCTGCTCTCAGCTAATTTCTCGTTCAGTTCTCAGTAGCCAACACCCTCCCCAACCACCACTCCTCTACGCCCTACGCTTGCGTCTCGTGTCCTTCAAATGCAATTGTGCGATGATTAGAAACGCAAAGCGTTGAGCTTTTTACTTTTTGTTTCTAAAGCGGGCAATTCTGTATAAATATATAGGTAAATACAAATACATGCAAATATTTGTGGGCATGTATTTGTGCAGCTGTTTATTTTCATTTTCACAGCGATAGCGAAAAGCTTTTTTGCCGCACTATCTGCAATTCACATACACAAAATTATAGTATAGTCATTTTGTTGTTTATTTTTATGTCGCCGACTTCCTAGGGGCACCAACGCATCTGTTCTATGCTCAAATTCTATGGTGCAATGTATTATCCAATTTTGGTTTGGCACTCAGCGAAAGTTTGCTATAGAAAGAAACCCCTTTTCTTTTTCTATTTTTTTTTTGGCACTGCAAAATCGAAAGTATCAAAAATAAGAAATCAAATTTAAAAAAAAAAGTGATCAACTGTCTGCATTTTTGCTGGCGCCAATTGCTAAGCTATACACAGACATACACACCCACAAGCACACCCGCATATATATCTACAGCTAGCCAAAAGTATTCGCACATTTCCGCACTCATCAAAATAGAATCGAAGTGCAAAATAGCAATTGCAATTGCAAGTGCAAGTGCAGCTACGCGGTAGACATACACAAATATACACACACAAAAGATACTGTATCTGTATCGGTAGCTGTATCTGTGTCGGTTGCATCCGTGTTGTTGCCGCCATTGCCAGTTGCCAAAGTCTGGGCAAAAAGTTCTCATTTATGCTGCACGTCGCCGCAGTTCGCATTCTACGTGCGTGTGTAGCTCACAGATTTAGTTACGGCAAACACCCAAAAGAAAAAAAATAAATAAAAAACGAAAGAAAAAAATCAGAGTAGGAAACAATAATCGAAAAATTGTAAATTACCGCTAAGCCAAATGGCAATGCACTGAACATTTTTTGGGTAAGTTCTTGTAGTTAATAAAAACTAACATATTTATGATTGCCATTTTTAAGTGCTCCGTCAATAGTAAGCTATTATCAGAAGCCTCGAAAATGCAGTCTCTGATTAGAGTATAAATATTGTACACATAAAATAAAAGTTCCGCATTTTTGAATTTTTCCTTTGTCAAACACTTTATGGTTGGATTTGCTAGGAATTGCGAATTGGCGAATTTTAGCACTTTACATAACTAATCTCGAAACATTTCAGACATCTATAAAACACCAACATTGTGAGACCATTGAAACTTCTTAATTTCCTTTGCCTACGTTTATTCTCTTACTCAATCAGTTTTCCATTCTAGGATGTGGTTAGATCAGACACCGATTCAATTTAGCAAAATTGATTGACATGCCCCAAAACGCTTGCATCATAATTGGGGCTTTGCATCACACTTGTGGCATTGTCTGCCGCTGACAGGCTAGTCGCAATAAGTTGACAGTTGTATTTGCCCCATCTGAAATAAATGCAGCTCATCAATAGAAATGTTTCTGCTTCTGTCAATCACACTGCCAGCCTTGCACAATAAATTTATGATTGCGGCTGCGGCGCAACAAATGCAAAAGCACAACAAAAACAAGCGACACAAAGAAGAGACAGAAAGTAATGTTAGATTGCAACCACCATTGGGTGGGCAACACCAACAGCAACAGCAGCAGCAGCAGCCCCACCGGTACTCAAAAGCTACCCCGGCGAAATGCATTGCGCTCGAATTCGCCGTGCAACAGCGAAAGCTTTTATTCTTATGCATGGCACTGAAAAGCGCAACCCTTCAGCAAACTTTGAGCGTTCAAAAGTAGTTTTTTCTTTCCAGCTGCAGCTGAGTGAGTGTGTGTGATTGAGTGAGTGAGTGCATTCAATTGGCAATGCCGGGTCTCTCACTGGGACTGGACTGGACTGGGCGGGCGAGTGTGAATGAGCTTTGAGTATGGCGCCTGTGCCGGTTGCATGTATATTGTGTATATGTGGGTCAGTAGTAGGAACATTCGGTTCGCGTCTGTGTGGATGGGCACAGCGTTCATTCCAAATACAACTTTTGCACGACATTAGTTTAATAATTTTCTAGTTTTTCTTTAATTTGTTGTTTTAAATTTGTTTGCTGCTGTTGTTCGTTGCCCTCCACAGAACTGTATACATTTCCGCATAGTTGCATTGATGAGCGCAATTTGATTTGCGAGCGGGGCCAGAGAATCCAACGGGAAGACGCACACAAAAATTTTCTATATCGCCTCAGTGCAATTGAGTATGCGGTGCGGTCGGTTGTTGTCGTTAATGGTGTTCTCCATACCGCCGGTCCTGCTAACACACAAACTTCACAATGCACAACAGTAAAAGTTACTAAGGAAAAACAACACATTGAGCGGCGAATCCTTTTTCAATTTATTATTGAAATTTAATGGAAATTTTTTTTGCTGGCTGTCGTTCGGCTGGCTTACGCGGCGTATGCGTAATATATTGAGCACGAAACCAGCAACGAAACGGAAAGTGATGCGTAATTGGCCAGCACGAATAGTCCCATAGTTCAAAATAACAATAAGCAATAATTAAATAAAATTATTCAGTGTGCGAGCAGCAACAAGAATAACAACAAATTTATATAAAGAATAAATGCGCTCAATTAACAGGAATATATTAATTGATTAATAATGCAAAAATTGTTTTTAATAGGCGCAAAGAGCATTAAAAACGAAAGTTGGCCAACAAAAATCAAAACAGTTTCACGTGAGTTATGACTCGATTTAGTAAATTTAAATAAATTGTCAGGGGTTTTTTTTTTTTATTTTTTTTTTTTGCGTCTGAAGGGGGAAGAGATTTGCCTACAAATGCCCCTGAACGTGAACGCATAACCTCCATTAAGGCCGCAATCTTGAACTATGCAAACACACACACATATGACAACGACAACGACATCGACAACGACAACGATGACGATGAGGAACCGAAGCTCGAGAGCCACTCAGCGCTCGTCAGTCGTTAACGCTGTTTGCCGCTATTTTTCCCGATAGCGACAGCAAAGACGACGCCATTGAAATACGAATGCAACACTGCAATCTCACAAACTCACACACACACACACACAAACACACACAGGCACACACACAAATTTTTGAGTGTAGTTCTGAGTGAGTGGGCGAAGCTTTGCCTGTCTCTCTGTCTAACATTTTTGTTGTGTTTGTGTGAGTGTGTGACGCATTTATTAATAGCACTGGCAAAAACGACAAAAAAAAGAAAGAAGAAAAGTGAAAAGCAACACAGAAGCATTCATAATTTAAAGCTCTCTATTAATGTTCACCTTTTCGCTCTTGTTCTGTTTTGGTCTCCTTGCAGATCAAGTGAAACTTTAGATACAACAACAGCTAGCAGCCTAAGCAATACAACAACACAGAAGCGCACTTAAGCCTAGCAGTAAGGAGAAGAAGACGAAGTAGAAGAAGGATATACAAAACAACAGTTAGCTGTTAAATCAAAATGCATGGACATCATCATCATCATCAGCAGCAGCAGCAGCAGCAGCAACCGCTGCAGTCACAGCAACAAGTGCAACAAATGCCAGCCGCAATGAAGCAGCAGCAGCAGCTGCAGCAACAGCAACAACAAACACAACACATAGCCATAGAGCAACAGCAACAGCACCAGCAGCAGCAGCAGCAAACGCATCCACATCATCATCATCATGCAACAGCACAGCATCCACAACGGCATCCACAACAGCATCCACAACAGCATCCACATGCGCACCCACATCATCATGCAAAACTGCTGCGTCGTTCGCGCAGTCGCAGTCGCAGTCCGACGCCGGATGGGACACAGGACTACGATGTGACGCGGATGCGTGAGGAGGACTTTGAGCGTTTAGCGGTATATTTGGTGCCCGACGTGCAAGCGGAGCGAGGGTTGCCCAATCGTGCGGATAAAACGCTGCCGCGCAGCCTAACGCTCAAGTCCTCCATGGTCTACTCAACGCCAAATGTTAAGGTGAGTGTCGAAAGCAAAAACAGCGAGTGTGCCAAAGCTGAACTGAACTTGTATCTTGTATTTACTAACCCTCTTCCTCCCGCCCTCTCGCTCTCTATAGACTGAAGGAGTTTGGAGCAGCGGCGTTATACCGCGTGGCACTCGCTTTGGCCCGTTCGAAGGCATTCCAACCTCAAATTATCCAAATGATAAGAATAAGGCGCGATATTTCTGGCGGGTAAGCATTATCATGTTATATATATATATATATTTTACTGGGCTTTATCTGGTTTCTAAATTTGTATTATTTGTATACTTATTGTTGACGTTTTGATTTTGCTGCATTTTACTATCATTGAACAAAAAATAAATCAAAAAAACAACAAAGAAAACTTTGCGACTAACCAACTGGTTTCTCTAAATTTTTAATTTCATGTGCATATAAATACCCAATTACTATATATATACAAATTTAACCCAACAATACCAACCAACCAACAACCAATCAATCGACCATACCAAAAATTCTAAATTACAATTTTGCATTTTGTTGCGGATTTGAATTTGAATTGTTTGATATACAATCAGGTGCAGGGAACACGCCACATAACCTACGGGATTATTAAGGTACCACTTTATGCTTTGTTTTATTTGTGACTCTAACTACCAAAAAAGCACTTTCTCTCTCTATCTGTCTATATCTCGCTCTCTCACTAACTGTTTTAGCTTTAACACTCTAACTGCACTCTCTATCGCTCCTCTTCACCTTTCTCTCTGAAACTATCGCAGATTGCTCTCTTTTGTAGCTTCCTTCCTGTGTTATTGTGTGATACTTATTTGTTATTGCTTCTTATCACCTCAAATCAAATGTGTCGTTTTCTTTATCTTCCATCTATTTCAATCTGTGTAGATCTTCAAAGATGATGATTATTATTATCTGGATGGCTCGGATCGCTCGGAATCCAATTGGATGCGCTATGTTGCCTCGGCGTATAGTTTGTCCGTTATGAATTTAGTGGCATGCCAGCATCAGGATAACATCTATTTCTACACCACCCGCGACATATTGCCCAACGAGGAGCTGATGGTCTGGTACTGCAAGGACTTTGCCAGCCGCCTCGGCTACGATGTGGACCCGGAGCGCACTATTTTCGGTGCCTGCAAACAGGATGTGGATGTGGATGAGGATGAGGACGATGAACTGCCGCACAAGAAACCCCACTATGCAATGCCCGCTCCCGAAATACCCGCCGAGGTGGCTGTCAGTCACATTACCTATGTAATGGGATTGCATTTGCCCGGTGCACCACCTCCACCACCACCACCCGCAGGATCAGTTGGAACAGCTGGAGCTCCATTGACAGCACCAGCACAAGCATCCGCCCAATGCTGTCGTCGTGGCAGTCCACCTGCCCATGTCAGCACCACAACCAGCAGCAACACTAACTCCAATTCCCTTCATCCGCATATACAGCACAGTCGGCATGCCTCGGTAATCATTGGCCAGGATCGGTCTCCCCTAAACAGTAGCTGTGAGAAGGAGACGGCTGGCTCACCGCTCTGTGGCAAGGATGCCCACTACGAGCATCAGTTGACGCCGCAGGATGGCAGTGTGCGATCGGTGCGCTCCGATGAAGGTTACCACAGCAACGAGTGCCAGGAGGATGGACTGACACCCCCCGAGGATTCCAGTGATAGCGAGAGTGAGCATAACTATGTGCTCGACTGCTCCAAGAAGGCAATTGCACCCAAGGAGACGGTCATTGCGCAGGCGCAAAAGCCGAGCAGTGTATCATCACCACCGGCAGTAGCCAATAATAGCAACAGCACCACCAGTAATAGCACCACCAACAGCAGCGCCATCATCACGCCCACCGCTGCCGTTGTCACGCCCAGTTGTGAGGCGGACAAGAACGAGTATCGTAAGTTCAAGGTAAAAATGCCACTGAAATATGAGTTCAAGAACAAGAGCTGTGTGAAAACGGAACCACTTAAGGAAGTGGATGAGCAACTGCCGCCAGTTGGTGTCGGTCTGGAGGAGGAGGATCTACACGAAATGCATGGTGCAGCGACGACGCATTGCGAGGATTCATTGTGCCCGCCCAGCACGACAACAACGCTGGGTGAGGAGCACCATCAGTTGCAGCATGTGATGGAGCCAACGAATCCACAGCCAGCCTCCTCCACAGTGATTGTGCTGGAGCACAGCTCCAATGGACAGACGCGAACCATTGTGCCGCTGAGTAAGCCCTACTACGAGGCTGATCCGCCCGTGGAGCGCTATGTGCGCTTCACACAGCCCAGCTCCAGCATCTTGGAGACGATACTCACCACTCACAGCCAGCATCGTTTGGAGGCAGCTGCCGCTGCAGCAAATGCCTGTAGGCAGGCAAATGCTGCAACACCACCACCCACATCGCCCACAGAGATGGCCTACAGCTATAAGAAATCACAGCGCTATGGCAATGCAGTGAGTCCCGATTCCAGTTCCAATCTGGGCCAGCCGCAGGAGCTCACTAGTGCGCATGTGGTGCAGGAGCAGGAACTGAGTCTGAGTCGTGGTTCATTGATCAAAGGCGAATGTTCGCCACCACCTCCATCCTCGCATCATCATCACAATGTGATCTATTCGCCGACGAGGGCGCATCACGGTGGCTACGAACCGGGCAGCCATTCACCCAGCTATACCGGTTATGCGGGCTATCCCGGGGCACAATCACTGCATGCTGCAACCTCAACGTTCCACTCACCACCTCATAGTTCGCACTCCCCCTTCGATCGCCAGTCGAATGCGTCTAGTGGCGGTGGCTCCGCTTCCAACTTGCATCTGTTGCAGAGCAGCACACAAATGTTGAATCATCCGTTGATGCAACCATTGACACCGTTGCAACGTCTATCGCCGCTGCGCATCTCCCCACCCAGCAGTCTGAGTCCCGATGGCAACTCCTGTCCACGCAGCGGCAGTCCCTTGAGTCCCAACTCGTTGGCCTCTCGCGGCTATCGCTCGCTTCCGTATCCCCTGAAGAAGAAGGATGGCAAAATGCATTACGAGTGCAATGTTTGCTGCAAGACATTCGGCCAACTGAGCAATCTCAAAGTGCATCTGCGTACCCATTCCGGTGAGCGTCCGTTCAAGTGCAATGTGTGCACGAAGAGCTTCACACAGCTGGCGCATCTGCAGAAGCATCATCTGGTGCATACGGGTGAGAAGCCACATCAGTGTGATATCTGCAAGAAGCGCTTCTCCAGCACATCCAATCTGAAGACGCATCTCCGGCTGCACAGCGGCCAGAAGCCCTACGCCTGCGATCTCTGTCCACAGAAATTTACACAATTCGTGCATTTGAAGCTGCACAAGCGTCTGCATACGAATGATCGACCGTATGTGTGCCAGGGCTGCGATAAGAAGTATATCAGTGCGTCTGGACTGCGCACACATTGGAAGACGACGAGCTGCAAGCCCAACAATCTGGAGGAGGAACTGGCCATGGCAGCAGCAGCGACCTCCGAGTGTTTGGGTAAGTTTCAAGACTTCAAGACCAACGTCCAAAACATTTCTTATTAACAAAGTTATCTCGTCTGCAGACAAGGATCTACCGGAGCCGGATTCGCGTGAGGCATATGAGCAGCTGCACCAGCACATGCATCCCGTGCATCCTAGCTTGCGTCATTTGGCTGGCACACAATCGCCGCCGCGTCTCATTCCGCTGGGCAGCAATGGACAGCCGCATATGCATATGCGACAGCATTCACATCAGGCGCCGCCAGGACATTTAATGCACTCACCACATGGTGGTCCGCCCATGCTGCTGACCACAGCCAACCAGTTACCGCCACCAACAACGCCACATCACATGCAGCAGCAACAGCAGCAGCAACAGCAGCAACAACAGCAGCAACAACCTTTGCCACAAGTCTCACCAGGCAGACAGCAACAGCAGCCACAGCATTTGGCTGCAGCTCATCATTTGGCGCAGCATTCACCCAAGTCGCTGAAGCCTTTGCCGGACACTGGCTATCTGCATGGGCCGCATGTCCAGGCGCAGGAGAATCGACCCTCGGTCATTGAGTCCTCCAGCCAGCCAATGATCATTGAGTGCACGTAGAGCGCAGCATTCAAAAAGTAACATGATAGAAAAAATAACTGGAATTAAAGTGCAATACACAACAAAAATTTAAAAGTTAAGCATTAAAAACTCCCACTTCTCCCCAAGCCCCTCCTTCCTAACAGAAGCGGACAGACGCAACCCAACTGCAGCATAACAAGCATACATAACGGTATTATTATTAGATTGTACATATAGGCAGGCGGGTCCAGATTCCCTCCTCCACCAATCCCACTCTTAAAACCAACCCACTCAAAATTTATAAGGAAAAAATAATAATTTCGCGCTATGAAAAGAAGATCTCAATAATTGGCAATCCCCAGCAAAAACTGATAAACTAATCATAAAATAAATGTAAAACTCTGCATATTATTTTTGATAAATATTTTATATTAAAACAAAAAAGAAATTTAATTCAAGCTGTTGTTGAAAAAAAAACCTTTTAAAAAGAGTAAAAGCATAAAGCAATGTTTGTAAAGAAAATAAATAAGTAAAAAAAATTTAAATTCGATGAGAAAAAATGCATTTAAATTTGTTTTGAGTTTGAGGCGCGATTAACTGTAAATTGAAGTACATACACATACATATATATAATAATTCAAATATATAATTAGATTCAAGTTGCCTTATTTGAATTTCGTTAGCACTGACAAAAATAACAAAAACCAGAAAACATAAAAATATTTGCTTACAATTCGAAATTTGAGCAGGAGAAACGTAAATACGTATTTTATATATAAATATATGCATATATATATAAATATATATATATTTATTCATATTTATTATATATTTGTATGTATTTTATTAAAACAAGCAAAAGAAAAAAACACGCAAATTGTACATAAATAAAAGGATATACTAAAACATACAACATTAATTTGAGATACATATTTAATTCATTATTTTGAATGTCTGTTAAATTCGAACCGCTTCATTCACTAATGTTTAGCTATTAATTACTTAAGTAGTAAGTAATTACTACCAAGTAGTGATTATCATTATGATTATATGATTATTATGATTAGTAAAATATGATCAAAAAAAGAAAACAAGATAAACAAAAAAAAAAACAACAACAAAAAAAACTTAGCTGAAAATCGGTGCTTTTGACTGTTTCCATTTGTCCACATTTACATTTAGAATTGTATTTGTATTATGAAACACAATAATTATTATCATACACTTAAATACATCATAAACATAAATAAAACATATAGTATATATATATACACAGATTATATATATATATATAAAGAAGTAAATTAATGAATATTAGTACACGTATATAGCCTAGTTATATAGCAACTTACTATATATCATATAAACATTCTCTTTACAAGTCTTCAGCTCTTTTCAAACATTACTTTTTGCGCCTTAGAAACAATTTTACCAACTCCTTCAAAAACCAACAAAATTATTCGTAACTTTACCAAAATTATATAAAAACAAGAAACAACAACAAAAAGCGCTCTCAATTAGTCTTCGTTTTTTTCTATGTGTAAGTTAAGTAAAGCAAATTACTTAGTTAATTGTCTGATTAAAAATAATGAAAACGTATATCTATAAGCTTATAATATTAATGAGGCTGACTAGCGTTAAGAAGTCTAATCTAAATCTAGCTCTTAGTACCAACAACAATGTATATTAAATAGCTAAAAAATAACTGTAAGAAACAAACACCAACTCTGTACATTATATAGCTAAAAAAGTAACTGTAAGAAACAACACCAATTCGTAACTTTTAAGTATTTTTGTGCACACGCGCTGAGAGCGCACGAGGCGTATGCGTAATAAGCTCAACTCGAGCATTTTATATATAGCTTAAAGCCCGTGCGTTCGTCTTGTAAAGTAGACTTTACCGGGTTTTGGGTAAGTGGGAAGCAGCAGCGCGTGTTAGACCCGCTAATTGAGACTAAGACTATGCAAAATTCATTTTGTATTTTTGTATTCGATACAAAGACGCAAAAGACGCGATGGGAGAACAGTTGAACGCCAATTTGTATGAAGTTAGCTATAATTGTAGTTTCTAAGTTTAATAAGCATATGCAATATTTATATATACATATATATATATATATATAGATATACGCATAATCTAACTATAATGATGCAAGTATTGAGTGGGAGACCTACATACATGGAAAATATAAAAGAAGATAATCAAAATTATAAAAAAAAACCACAGAAATTTGTTTATTTTAATTGACGAACTTTTTTGTTTTATTGTTTTGGTTTTTGGTGTTTTGGCATTCACAAAGATTTTGTTTTCTATTTTTCGGCGCATGTGTTGTTGGTTGTGAATTCATTTGATTTCACTTGATGGTGCAATACTCACAAAAAATATATTACTTTCTATATTTTTGGTTTGATATGATTTCTTATGAAATTACTAAATCAAATAACAGATAATGAGAGCAAGCGACATGCGACAAAATAATACTTTCCTATTTGTGAGACTGAGACTGAATGAATTACTATATACAATATGTACTCTTAACTTGTACTTTTTGTGGCCGCATTAGAAATCCACAAAAGGCAGAAAATACAATATTAAAAAAATGAACAACTCGAGCAATGCAAATCATTTCAACATTGATTTGCCCTGGCCACATTTCGATAATTTACAAAACAAGAATTTTTGCTAAAACATATTTTACAAATGAACAAAACATAATAGTTTCTATCCATTTAGTTTATTCAAGCATTGTAATATACTTATTATACATAAAACATATACATAAACATATTTAAATATATATAAACTATTATATATTTGTAATAGCACACGTTTGTAGTCGTGGCAAGCGAGAAAGAGAGAGAGAGAGAGAGATGGAGACACAGAGCGAGAGCTATAGAGAGCTAAACTAACAATGCCTAATGGTGAGGATGAAACTTGTACAGTAATTTTGAAATCTGTTTCAGGATTCAAAACAAAAACAAAAAGTGACGACAACACGTAAATTTAAATGGAGAATAAATGACTGCTTCTTAGTGTTATAAGTGACTCTGATTTAGGTCAACACACACAAAACAAAACAAAAAATATTAAAAAAAAAAAAAAACAATGATGAGAATCAATTATAGAAATCAAATCCAAATATATTGCATTATATATTCGATAAGTACTTATATATATGTCAACTTTTATTGCAAATCAATATTTCCATATGTATCTGTATCTGTATATTTATCTAATTACTTATATAGAGCATGTAGAGCCTTTGTTATTCATATGTATATATATATATATATATATATACATAATAAATATGCATACATATACATATATATAAATATATTTAATTGCAAATTGTTTTTTGTATCCACAAATGTACAAAATTGGTTCTCATACACAATTAAAAACGCAGCGAATTTCATTTGCAATCATTATAAACAAACAAAAAAAATTGCAATTAAAACCTTAAATTAGAGATCGTATTTTGTTGAATCAATTTTAAAATGTTAGCGATATGTCTCTGTCATTCACCTTTTATGCCACAATAACAACACACACCCAAAACAAAAACAACACAAAAAAACCAAACAAAAAACAAATATTGAAATGAATCCATAATTGACTTTATACATATATATGCGTAAATCTAAAGAAAATTATGAAATTATTTGAACGCAACTTAAATTCCTATTAATTATATACAAATATCTCTAAAAAATATCTCTAAATGAAAACCACAATTAATACAAGTACGATGAAAAGACATAAATAAAAACAAAATATTTCATACTAAACCAATTAAAGTTGATTTCTTCAATGTGTTATTTTTGATTGGAGACGAAATAAAGTTATTCCTTTTTTACTAGTTGTCTACCAAATGAATTACTAAATTTAGTTTTTTAATTAGAAGTATACTTTTAGGAGCAAATATTTTTATAAAATTCATACGAATTTTGAATAATTTTCTTATGCGTTATACGAGAATTTGAGCTTAGATAGTAGATAGATTTATATTAGCTTGACTATAACCTTCCTGTAACACATTCTGTTTATCGAAGATAATCAAACAAACTTCTTCACATCAATACCTAAATTAGTTTATAGAGTTCGCTTTAATACAGCCTCCTTTTGGAGCAAACAGTTGTATAATCAATAGGAGCATTCACTACCAGATGTAAATGTCAACTGTGGCTGAGACATTTCCGTCTTTTTCCGTTATCCTGTCGGTCGAAGCGCCTGTCAGTGCAAAATGGAAACATCAATCACATGTCAATCAGAGAGTGAGAGTGAGTGGGATACTTGAATAGCTATTGTGGACCCTAATATGCACTATGTAATAATAATCAGGCCTCCTGCTGAACATGCAAATTGTGTGCGCTCTGGCATAAAGAAAGGACACCAACAATGGCAAAAAAAACAGAAAAAAAGGGCAGAAAAAACGAGAGTAGAGATTGGCGATAATCACACAGTGTAGCCAACTCGAGGTGCCGGACCGGGTCAAACGGAATACAGCGGGGCGTCAGGGCAAATGGACCAGCACACCCCTGCCTCCCCACGGTTGCAACCACTTTGCATGCAACTTGCAAGCATTTTCTGATTACGATTTTGCATAGTGTTTTCAGCTCGTATTTTTCACATTTTATACATATTTTTGTTTGGCAACGTTTTTATAGACTTAAAGCGGATTATTTTTCAGGCCTTTGTATACGCGTGCTCTTTGTCTGTCTGTTTGTGTGTATGTGTGTGTGTGTGTGTGTCCGGAAATGCATGTCCGATCAAGCGGACCCAAAACGGCCGGACAATGGAATCGGCCGCTGCAATTGCATTCATGATGTGCGGCTGCCTTGTTAATCCAGTTCCAATTATGCGCATGTGAGTGGTTCGTATCCCTAATGGGCACTTTCCATTTCAGCCATTGTGCCCGCAGGCGTCCAGCCTTTTGGACATACACTCTCACACGCACACATACAAAAACTCGAGCACAAGCCATAGGCCTGTGCTGTCGGCAAAATATTGATTACACAGGCCCCTTTGAGCCAACATTTTTTATTTTTTCATCTTTTTTGCTACTCTTATTTTTTCTGTGTTTGGTTGTTGTTGTTGCTGTTGTTTGTATGCATTTATTGAGGATAAAAATCGAACTGACCCTTGGTTGACCTCACAGCAGCCAGTTGAGACCAGACTCGTGCTCTGATTTCATAAAAAATCTCTATTATACGAGATGGAAGTCCGACATCATATTTTTTCATTATATATACAGTTTATACAAAGTCAGTAAAGTAAAGTTAACATAAGATATAATTCCTTAAGTTTGCGACACTTATAAAAAGCCAAACGAATATCTTCAGTCAAGTTGCAGCCAACAAAATCCGAAACCAAGTATAAGTTCTTCAAGTAAGTCGGCCAGTTACCAATAAGTAAAATATCATCGGCTTTAAACATTTTCTGTTTATGCATTTTATGACCCTTATCAAATTGCTTTCCCCATCAAAGTAGAGCAAGTTCGACATAAAAACCAATATCGAAGCTATTTCTATCTATTTTTAGTTTGCCCAGCTAACATTTTCAAGCCAATTAGAACTGTTGGCTTAAGTTAATTAATTCGTTTAATATAAACCTTGTATGCAATTCATCAAATTTAAAATTAAAGAAAGTGGCATTTGAGCCACTTAATTTGAGGCGCATTTCAGCCACATTTCCAACTCGAAGTATTCCATTTTTCTAGATTTGCGTCACATCTCTGCATAAATCGGCGCTACAAGATTTCACCCTCTGACACTGTCTACACCCGCCCCTGCATCTTGTCGTGCTGGGCTGTCATCGTGCATTTGGTGGCATTGGCCAACGATTTGGCGTGTCACATAGCCGTGGCAGGCTAGCCAGGCAGCAGCCTGGCACGTGCCATGATAAATTGCATACATGGCCAGGAGAATATCTATTCGCAAAATGTTGCACAATGTGATGCTCTGGGTTGCGCTTGCCACACACGAGGGTAAGAATACGTTGCCACGCGACATTAGCACTTTGTGTGGACAATCTGCAATAGTTTTTTTTGTTTTTTTGGGGTGGCAACCAACCAATTGTGAAAATGTGTGTGCGGGTTGTTGTGCAGTTTTTTATGCAATTTTTTGTGCGGCACCAATCAAAGTTTGGCTCGTTTTTTAAACCCTCAGCGATCGTGGACTAACCTATCAGAAGGCAGACTTGCATATATGGCACTCAGTGTTGTATAACAGTCGTATAACAGATATATGACATATTGACGATACAGAAACATTTATCGCTTACAGCGCGTACAGTACCGAAAATTTGTATCTACAAATCTAGATAAATTTTTCACAATTCAACGTTCTCACTCTCTGTCTGTCTCTATCTGTCTGTCTGTCTCGCTGAGCGCTGTCTCTCTCTCTTTCCCTCTCTGCCGCTCTGCTTGATCGCTACGTAAAGTGTCTTACGTCTGTTACGTTTTGTGCTCAGCACAACTCGACTCGAAATGTTTTTCCACACACGCACTTTGCCTATAGCTGTCCCCTTCGCACACACAGTGCTCATCTTGTGCGTCGTGGCCGTGTTTGAATATTATTTTTGAAGATACGACTACAATTTCGGCCTGTCTGTCGACTGTTAGTTGTGCATGTGTGCGCGTCTCTCTTTCTCTCTCTATGTGTATGTGTATGTGTATGTGTGTGTGTGTGTGTGTGTGTGTGTGTGTGCGTAAGTGTGTGTTTGCGTTTTTCAGGCACCGTGGCCTTCCTAGAAATAGTAAAACGCAACTCACAGTTCAGTGTGACGAAGTGCGTCGTGCGCAGCGGCAGCGTTTTTCAATCGATTTTCGTTCTCCTCGAGTTTCGTACACAAAACTCTCTTCGTCTCGAGTGTATGTGTGTGTGTGTCTGTGTGTGTGTATATTTAGCTGCAACTGCATGCATGCATGTGCTTGTGCATGTGTTTGTGTGTGTGTGTTTGAGTGTAGTTGTGTTTTAGAGTTGATAAATAGTGTGCAAGAACATGCAGCACACGCAATACTGACAAATAGCCCAAAAAAATAAATAAAAACCTAAAAACACAACTCAACTCAAGTCTACCCAATATCGGCATGGAGAATATCAATTTTCGTAGCGAGGATGCAGCTGGAGGCAGTGGGAACAGCTCCTCGCCAACAGCAACAGCGCCAGGTATGAACTATAATTTATACAAAGAATAGGCGCACCGCCCCGCCCCGCCTTCTGCTCATGTTGCCCCCCCCCCCCCCCCCAAGCAAAACCAAACGCGTATCCAAAACAGAAAAGTAAAAAAAAACTAGTTTTTTTTTAGCTGAACGAAACGAAATCTTATCAAACTCAACGCTGATTGGTCGCTGCGATCGCTCAGTTGTTTTGCTTTTGGGGTTTTTTTGTTTTGTTTTCTGTTTTGCTATGTACTGCGCAGTTCTTTATATTTGTTTTCCGCATTTTTGTTTTGCTCTTGGCAATCGAGTTTTTTATTGGCGAATCTTTTTTTTTTACACATATATATATGTATACATATGGCCTGCATTTGGTACATGGACAAATGTTTATCAACCCTCAAATTGCTTGCAAATCGAAACACCATCACTCCCCACCCCAACATAATTTGCAACACGCACCCCGAACCGTGCAACATGCACCCCTCAACTGCAGCCACTGCATTTAGCTGCTTGGGCATAAAACCGCCCTCTTACCCAAAAACGTTTTGACCAACATTTTCTACACACTTTTCATCAATATTTTTCAGTCATTTTGCTTGAATGAATCTGAAAATTTGTTCTTCTGCCAATTTACATCTTGAACCACTTTTTTTTTTTTTTTGGGAATATTACAAAACACGTTTTTGTCTTACACATTTTTGTAAGCAAATTGGGCGCATCTTTTTTGTATACTCCAGTGAATTGTGTAGGGAATTAAGCAATAAATAGAGAAATAGACGAGTTTCCCTGGCATCAGTCACTCAGGCATGTGGTGGTAGTTTTCAGCTGAAGATCTTCAACGTATTTATAAACTAATTGACAGAATTTACAACAGCCACGGTTGGAAGGTGAAAGTGTTAGCCACAGATGTTGCCCATAAAAATTTGTAAAGTAATTTGTAGACTCAGTTCTAAATTAAAGAAATGTGCGCTAAATATAGATAGCATATAAATTATTATTTTAAGATAAATTGGAGAAGTTCCAATATAATAATTGAACGCCTTACGAGGAATAAGAGTTTTTATAAGAATCTTCTATGAAAAAACATCCATTATAAATGGGATTACAGATATCTACAAAATATGGAGTAATTAATAAAAATTATCTTGAATCTGCTTCAAAATTGTTTTCAATGAAGCAACAAATGTTTCAATAAGACAGCAAACAACCCTCAAGAAAAACTCACTCTTACGTGTATATATGTATGTGTGTATGCGTGTGTGTGTGTGTGTGTGTGTGTACATAAGGTTTTCAGATAAGAGCTATCAGCAAGCCAGAGTGGAGTGCAGTGCGCTGTGTATCTATGAGATACTACTAAGCAAACGAAATCAAAAAAAGATAACCGGCCGAAAATGGAACACAACCGAAAACAGAAATTATGAATGAACACATCAAATGAATGAAAAATGCGTGTGTGAGTGTGTATGTGTGTATGTGTGTGTTTATATGAAATTCACGCATGTCACAGATAAAGAAACGAATAGTTAGACACACAAATATTTGGGACAGCAACAGCTCCCAAACAGCAACTCAATTCAATCCAATCCAATCCAATCCAATCGCCTTATTCCGCTTGAGCGTCTTCACAAAAATTTATATGTATGTATTTATTTGTGTGTGCATGTATATGTATGCATATATGTATGTGTGTATATCTCTAATTAAAAAAACGAAACCTGTTTTCTGAACTGAAATGAACTGTGTTAGAGTTTTTTTTTTGTTGGATCGTTTGCCTTGCGGCAAATGGGACAAGGACTCGACAAAGTTGTTCAGCTGCTATCTAATTTGAATAACAAACAACAATTGCAGGATATTGAGGATAACTCAAGGATAACTGCGGCTACTTAGCGATTTATTTTTCATTTTATTTATATGCTTCCAGTGACACCTGGCGAGGAATGCGGCTGTGTTCGTCTGGGCAAATGCAAATGGTTCAATGTAGCCAAAGGCTGGGGCTTCCTAACGCCTAACGATGGCGGCCAGGAGGTATTTGTGCATCAGGTGGGTAAACAACAAACAGTTGCATGCAACAAACAAAAAACACAACTAACACAAATACCAATACAGAGTGTCATACAAATGTCCGGCTTTCGTTCGCTCGGCGAACAGGAGGAGGTGGAGTTTGAGTGCCAGCGCACGGGGCGCGGCTTGGAGGCGACACGTGTCTCGGGTCGGCAGGGCGATGATTGTCACGGCAGCACCTATCGGCCACGCATGTAAGTCAAGTGTTACACACCATTTGCAACACCCAACACCCAACCTAACCTAACCTAACCACATTATTATACAAAATTCCTTTACTGCTGCAGTAATCGAAAATCTCGCCGCATGCGCTGCTATAATTGCGGCGAATTCGCCAATCACATTGCCTCGGAGTGTGCGTTGGGACCGCAGCCGAAGCGCTGCCATCGCTGCCACAGCGAGGACCATTTGCATGCCGATTGTCCACATCGCAGCGCAGCCGTGGTGAGTAACTCTAAAACACCACACCAACAAGGAGAGAGAGAGCTAAGCTCACCTTACAATTTTCACAGACACAAACCAGACAGAGCAGCGGCAGAAGCAAAAGCATTGCCAGCGACGAGACACGAGAAGAAGCTTCTGCAACAACAGCAGCAGCAGCAGCAGCAGAGGCAGCAACAGCAGCAGCAGCAGCTCCCTAACGCGGCGTTACAGCTATCTATGAAGTTCAAAGCTTGTAAAATACACCCAACAACACAAAAAACGTACAAAACGCAAGAAATCAAAGAAATACCTCACGTACAACCCACAACTACGTATGTTTAAGTGCAGTTCTAGATACTGGCAGTAGTTCTCTAAGTTTTAGCTATAAGATTTGTGTGTCAAATGCAAAAGAATAAACTAAAGGCCATTTAATGAATTGATATAAGTACACCATTTTAGAGACTCTTTATTTCTTCAAAAATACATCATGTGTAAATAGGAAATTAAAACCATAAATAGAAAAGCATTTCTTATGACAAATTATAAATTCTAAGCTTTACCAGCAGTTTTTGAGAGTATTTTAGCATGCATTTTGACTTGGAATAACATTTCCTTTAGAAGTCGAAACATAATTAGAAAGCACTGATTTTTAAAAATCTTATAATTTTTGACAGAGTTTAATGATTTAAAGACGAATTTCGACTTTGCATGTCGTTTCCAACTTGAAATGTAGTATTAAACTAGAAGATAAACCACGACTAAAAAGCCTTGGCTTATGGAAATCGGTTTAGTTTTGGCAAAGTTATGAAAAGCAAGTAAGGAATTTAAGAAACAAAAAATTGTTAAACTAGAAGCATGGAATTCACCACTGTCAAAAGCACAGTCAATTTCAGAATGTTGCACACACACACACAGGCACACAGACACAGCTACTGCCACGAATACGCACGCACAGAGATGAGGAGGACACACCCCCCAAGGGAGCCGTGATAAGAAAGCTTTGGCATGTCACGTGCTGAGAGTGGTGGGCAAACAGTAACAACATTGAAGCTTTCGGCGCTGGCGCTGGCGGCAGCAACCACAACAACAACAACGAATACAACAAGAATGTTGCCATGAAAACGCAGAATCATTGTAACACATTTGAAAAGCACGACAAACGCCTCCTGCAGCTGTGAAAGTGAAACAGTGGCTGTGGCTGTGGCAGGCAGCAGCAACAACAATAAGCATATTGTGCGAGGACACGCACGCGAGAGGTGAAAGTTGCGCTCTTCTTTTCTCTCTCTCTCTCTCTCTCTCTCGGGGCGAGGGCGAATATACAAATATCCCTTCGGCTTACTGTATATCTGTTGTTGTTGTTGTTGTTTTTTTTTGTCGCGGTTTTTGGGTTTGAAATTTTTGCGTTGCTGCTGCGCTTGTTGTTCTCATTGTTGTCATTGCTGCTGCTGCTGCTGCTACTGCTGTTGTTGTTGTTGGGCGACATCAGATTTGCAACATTGTTTGCTTCTCTTTTTGGCGCGTGGCCACGAATTCATTCGGCTCTCCAAGAACAGACTCCAGATGGATGCAGTTGCCTTGGCGCGAGTCCTAGGTCTCAGTCTCAGTTTATCTCTGCCAGAGTATTGTTGTGTGCAACGCGGCGGACTTAACAACCAATAAAACAGCAATGAAATGAACAAAAATACAATAAAATAAAACCAAAAAAGGAAAAAATAAATAAAATAAAACACAAAAATAAACTATGATGAAAATCAAATAATTTACAATTATATTAAAAAAATAAACAATAACTAGACAACAAGAAGAATTTTTACCAAAGTTAACAAAGCGTTTCAGCAACAAAAACCAAAACAACCAACAAATTCTAACAACATTTGTAACACATTTTTTGCATAAAACTAAACAAATCAAACATAACATTAAAAAAATAAGACAATAAGCAAAATAATCACTTTTCTATTAATATATAACGACGGGAAAAAGAAATACAAAAAGGAAAACAGACATTAAATGTAAAAAAACGAGTAAAAATTAGTTCAAGGTTGCAAAAATGTATTTTGAGTTTTTTTTTTATATGCGCAAATTTTCAATTCAAATGAAACAGTCAAAATAAGTAAGTGAACTGTCTGTGTGTGTGTGTGTGCGTGTGTGTGAGTAAGTGTATGTGTGTGTCATGGCATAAACAACAAACAAAATGTGGCAACAACGGAAGTCAAGTCAAAAGGAAACGAGCAAAAAAAAGAAGGAAAACAAATGCAATTCAATTCAATTCATAACAGCAATAACAAAAGCACAACAACAACAACTGCAACGACGATAATAACAAAAACACACACACACACGCACACACATTCACACACACACATACTCACTCACTTAACATTTACATGTCGCTCTCTGTTAAGTCAGCGCCTGTTATGTAATATCCTGTTTCTGAAGCTGTCGCCTGACAAGTCCTGCCAACCCAATGGGCAAGACATGTGTGTGGAGAGCTCGTGTGTGTGTGTGTGTGTGTGTGAGTGATTGTGTGTTTGTGTGAGGTGGGGGCGTGGCATGCAACTCAGTTGCTGTTAAAATGATTTATAAACTTGGAAACGCTCCATGGGCACGGCATTGAGACATTAACACGAAGGGCGACCATCCTTTATACAGCCAACAACATTTGCACCTGGATATTTTTAGTTGGGCGTGGATTTTGATTTTGTGTGTGTATGTGTGTGTGTGTGTGTGCTTGTGTGTGCACGTGTGTGCACGTGTGTGCATGAGTGTGTGAGTGAGTTAAGCATGCAAATATGTGACACTAATTCGATGAGCAAATGCTAATATTACGCATTCGCCGCATCGGTCGAAGGTCGTCGGACACAGGACTAGCGATATATATACAAATATATATATATAAAATATATCATTCATATTATATATATTATTCACATTAGTTATATTTTTTGTGGCTGTGCCAGCGCCTAATTAATGAAATGTGTGTCATAATGCGACAGGCATTTAGTAGGTCAAGTGGATTCCATGTTGAGGTTGACGGGCCAAAAACTCTTTCGCATCGAAAAGCCCTTGGCCAAAAGAGCACGAGCCCACCCCACAGCAGCCCTGCCCATCCCTTCCGCTTCCCTTCTCTACCCACCCCTTTCCAGGGACAATCCACGAAATAGAAACGAACAAAATGCGACGATGTAAATAAATAGATGGGCGTTTTCTAGCCAAGTCGAGCTAAGTAGTAATACATTAGCTTTTAAATGGGCGCAGCTCATTTCCTTTTTTATTTTTTTCTCTTCAGGATTAGCTGTCAGGCGCCTTGGATAATAAATAGACTAGTGACAGGATGATAATGACCACAAATAAACTGAACTTTTCTTTTCTCATTTTTTTTTTGTTGGGTGAATCTTTAGAAAGTTGTTGGCAGTATAGAAAAAAATATAGGAATATATGTTTTTATATGTCAGACATTCCTTATGAAATTTAAATGCAATTTAGATTATTTTGTGCACAGAAAGTTGCTTAAACAATATCCATATGAAAGTTAAATGTAACTTAGGTAATTTTTTTATAGATTTGTTCGTTATTTTATGAATCATGTAATATTTTAAATCAAAAATCAACGAAAATTGGCGATGTTTTGAAAACCCGTTTGAAATTGTTCACTTTATGAATGTAATTGTGTTTTGTCTGATTTCTATCTAAAATTTCAATTAGTCTCTATCTAACTGTCAACGCACCTCACTTTTCACATTTTGATGTCAAACATTTTATTCTTAAACCTCAACTCACCGTAATTAATGTAAAAATCCTTTAAATCCTGCACAGGCGATATACATAAATATATAGATATTTATATAAAACTCTGGCATGTTTCAAAAATGACATTACTAAATAAAAAAAATACTAAAACGGTTAATGTTCCAATAAGCTAAACTACAATTTGTACAAAATAATAACTAAAAAGAACAGCCTCTAAAAACAGCAAACAAAAACAGTTGCAGTGCCAAACGACACGAAATATTTAATAAATAATACTACAAAAAAAGATTTAAGCAAAAACAAATCCAATTAATCTTCACACAATTTGCACCCCAATAAAAAGGTAAGTTTATGGGCACAATTTTTACTTAACTATCTGAATGTAATTTGATATCTTATGCGATTTTCTAAATGTTGTTTGACCTTTGAATATTTTATGCACTTTATACTCGCAAAGGAAAAATCGCTGATGCTGTAAATGGAAAAGTTGTATTTCTTATTTGTAGTTATTTACTAGCATACATTTTACAAGTGAATGCAATATCCAATCTAGACTAGTTTTCCGCTAGAAGGGCAATTTCTGCACGGCCAGATTCCAGGCGGGCAAACCGCGACAAACATAAACGCAACAATTGTAGATTTTCGGCTCCACTCTGCCCATTTGCAGATTGGCCAAAATTGCGCTTAGGCTGCCCATTTGGTAGTCCGGTTGCTGATCCAGTGTCTCAGTGGTGCCTGACTGTGCTGCTGCAGCAAATATACAGTTATTATTGATACAGTTCGAATTCAGTTGAAGAACTTCAGTTCTACCTTGAACAATGCCCTGGCTGAGCCAGGCGACGCGATCAATGTGCGTCCAGGGTATGATCTTTGGATTGGCAGGCGTTATCCACTGACTGAGCAGATGGGCGGACACATTATCGATGTTGGCATCGAGGGCGGGCATCAGAGTGCCCACGACAGTGGGACACAGGGCACCATGAAAATAGTCCTGTGCGCCATAAAGAGCGCTATAGAGTCCACTGCTTAGCACTCGCGTCGAATCACAGCCAAATAGAAAGACGACGCCCTTGATGCGATTCCGGTAAATCAGACGACCAGAAACATACTGCAGACTCGAGCCGTGACCCGCATAGCTAAAATACAAATAAGACGATATCAAAAGTGAGCTCAAAGTGAGGATTGTTTAACGCACACAAAACAATCGGCTTTGAAGGCCTGTTCGAGCATAAACTGCTCGCTGGGCACCGTTTCGAACATGTGCGGCCAGTGGGTCAGCCAATACTCGAGGAAGCCGCGCCATCTACGCCCCGATTTTTGCAGATCGGCATCGGGATTGACGAGCGTGATGCCGCTGCGTATGTTGACCGTGTAGTAGCCATGCTGAATCTGTGACTTGTGGCACTTGAACAGGCGCCACAAGTTGTGCAGCGATTTGATTCGCGTGCACTCCTGCATCGGTGCCAGCTGCTCCCAGTGCAGGTGATCCAGGCGCTAACAAAAAAAAAATCTAATCCGTAATAGTACACAGCCAGGTAGCATTGTAAGTTGCACTTACCTCGTCCACCACCAGTATGAGGGGGTAACGCTTCATGGCCACCGATTGGCGTTGCTCCAACAGCTGCCACTCGTTGGCACAGCTCTTGAGCAGCTCGTAGACGAGCAGCGCTTCAGTCTCATTGTCGTTGTGGGCCAGCTCATGGCCCAGCTGCTTCATCTGGGATTGTGGCAAGCGATTCGCATGCAGTGCCGCCTGCGACAGCAAGATCCGCTGATGATCACTCCAACTGTGCTCCACACACAACTCATCCACGCGCGCATAAACCACTTTGGTTTGCTGTTGCACTGCATCGCAATCGTAGCGCTTTCCCAGAAACAGAGAGCAGTAGGGTGTAAAAATGCTGGTGAGATCCGAAATCAGTTTCTGCAATGCAAACAAATATTATGATTTTTAGTGGGTATATAGATATATATACTTAATGTGGCTATGTACACTCTCCACTCTCTACTATTCAACCATTTGGTCAAGTTACACACTTTCAGGTAGGCCTCGAAGGCATTCAGTTCTTTCCAGTATTTGGCTTTGGCCTCCTGCGTTTTCACCGCCACCGGATCGACGGTGACAACGCGTCTGAACCGCTCCACCAGCGTGGCGTACTCCCTGAACAGGTCCGACAAAGCATCGCTGCTGAAGCGCAGACAAGTCGCCGGCAATTGGGGACTGCGACAGTGGAGCAGCAGGGATAAATATATGTCGCCTTTGGCAGCGGCGATTTCACAGAATGTGGAATATGTTGTGGCCGGATTAAAGCTCTTGCACAGCTGCAGCACGCACCACTCACGTGGCAACTCCTGGCATATGTGTGAGATGCGCGCAAAGCCCGACTCCGCATCCGGCAAATCTTGTAGAAAATCAAGATGCTCCAGCGGTTTTGGTGGCTTCTGCTTCGGCTTGCGCTGCTCCAGTTTCTGATGGTATTTCAAAATGTTTTGCAGAAATTTGTTGCTGCGCGAAATGGAACGGGATTAGAGACAGTTGTGTTGTTAATTTCCATTTTTCTATATTTAGAAAAACACACTTTTTGTAGTCCAATTTCTCTTGGCTGCTGGCTTCCGCTAAAATCTCAGTTGTGTTTGGCTGTTGATTTTCCAGGTTCTGGGCCTCGGTAACAAACCGCAAGTCGGCGCACTGAAACAGTGCTTGCACCTGGTGGTAAATCGAGTGCGTCACGTTGCCATTCTGATACTCTTCGTCCGCACGAAGTAAATTGTATTCTGCAGCAAACATGGAAAATAATTCATTTTCGCCTCGGTAATTTTTGAACATTTTTGGCCACTCACCTTTCGTTTCGGGTCCCAGCTGCACACTGGTCAGTTCGCGCAGTTCGTTTTCCGTGGCTTTGGCGTCCCACATTGCGTGGCAGTTGTGTTTCAATTTTTAATTTCAATTGCAAATTCGAAAAAAATGCGCCGTCGTCATTTGACTTAACATGCCACAAGTTGTTGTTGTTTTGCATACACTCTGCTTGGTTCAGTGCTTGGCAGTAGCGCACAACGGCCGACGCTGCTCATCACTGCAAAACATCGATAGGCGCACGCTATCGATAGTTGCACGTTCATTTTTAGTACATTTTTCCGCACATAGCGCGCGAAATTCGTATAAGAAACACAAAAAAAAAACAAATTCTATTAGTTTCAAATAATATGCACAATATACGTAAAAGTGTTGAGTTAAGTTGAGCACACGTGCGGCAAATGCAAATAAAAACAGCTCGACACTCATGGCAAAAGCTCTGACACTGTTGTTGTTGTTGCTGGCGCGTTTTTCATTCATAAAAACGCAGGCGATGGCAAAGGACGCGTTCAGCATTGCCACAAAGCTTTGCGCAGATGCCCAAAAACAGCCAGAAAACTGTGTCAATCGCTTTTAACACACACACAATCGCATACACATACACTCATACATATTACATTGGCTCCCCGGTGAACCACACCCTCCGATTGCCCTAAAAACCTTACGCAACAACAAAAAAGCCACACACATCGGTAAATTATTGCAACAGCAATAACAGCAACAACAACAACAGCTGCAGCGGTAATAGGAACTTTGACATTTTACAAGCCAAGCGAACGTTGCATTTTTGTTGTTTGAATTTTTTCGCTGGCGCGCCTTTTTTGCAGCTCGCTGCAGTTTCTAATGACGTTTTCTTGAAAAGATAACGGAAGCAGAGCAGTAGCAAAGCCAGCCGCTGTGCGTGGGGTGTTTGCATGTGTGTGTGTGTGTGTGTGTGCGTGCGTAGTTCTGACGTCAGTAAGCCTGGCGCATCCCGTTTTGCAAGTATGTCTCTGTGTGTGTAATTTTTGTTGTTTTCCTTTTTGGCCGCTCCCCAGCTGCAGCTGCATTCTGCCTTGCCCTCTCTCTCTCTCTTGCTCTCCGTCTCCGAGTTTTTTTTAGGCCCGGTCTAAGGCTAGTTGGGATATGTAATGTCTGTGTAATATTTATTTGGGTAAATGGTGAATGCAGCGTGACAGTGACAGTAATATTATTATTGATGCAGCATCCACAGCACTCAGCAATTGTCAGCTTAATCTACGACTTGACGAGACTTTCGTTAAATATTGAAAGCACGCCGACGCACACAAGCAGCACTCGTTCTCTCTCTTCCTCTCTCGCTCTCTGTCTGGCTTGCACTTTGGGTTTTTTGGTGCTTTTTGTTTTTGTGTTTGTGTTGTGTATGTTGTGGATCTGCTGGCGGCGCAGTCGACGTCGCTGCTGGCCCGTTGGCCGCAGAGCACTCAGCATCCTTTCTACTTATTAATTTTGATATTACTTTTCACTTTTACTTTGTGTTTGTTAAAACGTGCCTCTCAGTCTTCAGCTAAACTCAGTGTGTATGTGTGTGCGTGTGCGTGTGTGGGCGGGTGTGTGTGTGTGTGTGTGTGTCTGTTTCTGTCAGTGTTGAGCAAGTCACAAAAGTCCCATGACAATCATCTGTTGTTATTTTTGGTTACTTGTAACACTTGCAACATTTTTCTCGTTTCGGGTCATAAAAATGTTGTTGTTGTTGCACGTTCAAGCCTGTTGTTGTTGACCAAAGTCCACCTGCACACAGCACATCCAACCCCTCCCCCCACCAACCATTGACTAAGTCACAATTCACCTGGCAACACTCTGCATTATTTATGAGCCCACTGCTAATGCAAAAAAAAACAAAACTTGGCACGTATGTGTGTGTGTGTGTGTATGTGTTCATATATATGTACACATGGAGACATACGGACACACACATGCAGGCATTTGTGCATGTGAGCGGGTTGAGAGCCTCGCACGCCTAGCAAATTATAACATTAATATTACATTAACGCACACAAACGTGCATGCTCACACACACAAACACACGCACACACATGCATCGGGGAGACATTAAAACGAAACAGAATGGCAAAAACTTTCATTTGACGTCCTAACAGCAACAAGAATAACAACAACAACAAAAACAGCAGCAACAACAACACCACGCGACATGTAAAATAAATGTAACAAAATGCGTTCAAACACGAAACAGAAACAGAAGAACAGAACAGCAGAAGAAGAAGCAGAAGCAGAAATAGCAGCAGCATCCACACACACACATACACATACACACAGACACTAAAACAACAAAAGCCCATAGTCAAAAGCAGCGACAGCAGCAGCCACCCCAAAAAAAAAGTAAATATATGGCACACATTCCAACAGTTGCAGCGATGCTGACGTGGACAGCGACGCGTCGCCGCTGCTCGAGCAGAGATCCCTCTGCCAGCTGAAGCTGCGGATGCTTTTCGCTTGCGCCTCTGCTCGGCAAAGTCAAAGCGAAATTCGAAGTCGACGGTTGTGTGGCTCGCGCTGCTTGGCTCCCCGGTGCTGCTTCCAGAAGCAATTCACAAAACGCTTTTAACACTTAAAATATCTCTACATATATATAAATAATAAATACACCAACACACAAACACAAACAACACACATCAGACATACACACGCACACACACACACACTTACAAAACAGCCACAGACACACACATGCTTAAATAAAAAAAATTGACTAGAAAAGTAAGCGAAAAATCAACAACAGCAGCGAAAGCAAAGCGTGTGAAAAAAGTGTAGCGTGCTTTTAGGCATAGCAGAAAGGAATATTTTAGACGGCTTAGAAAAAGGTGCTTAAGGCTTTGTGGTTGGAACGTGTACTAATATCGACATTTAAAAAGTAAATTAAGGTGTGGTGATTTATGCAACTTTTTAGCCACACGCACACGAGCACAGATCGGCGACAGACACACACAAGCCAGGGGGTTGGGGAGGGGGAGGAGAGCAGCGACTGCACATACCTCTATAAGCCAAGTACATGCACACATACACATTCACATATATATGTATATATATATATATATATATATATATATATATGTATATGTATGTATATGTATATATATGTATGCATGTGTATGTGTGCATGAGGTGGAGAGCGGAGGCATACAAAATAAAGGATAACGACGAACAAGCGAGCGACAAAAAAGCAAGAAAGAAATCGAAATTAAAATATATAAGTTGTACAACACCAACACGACAACAACAGCAGCAACAACAGCGCAGGCAATTTTCGGCTGTCGCTGTAATTCGAAGCTCATCTGCGCTGCTTTTGCTCTCTGCTGCTTAGTTCGCTGCTGCTGCTGCGGCTGCTGCTGCTGCTCTCAGTGACTCCTGCTCGCTCTCTCTCTCTCTCTGTGTATGTGCTTGTTGTGTGCGTGCGTGCTTCGTCAAGTGAAAACATTTCGTTTCGTCAAGTTCTGTAGGTATTTTGGCAGGCCAGGATGCTGCTCTACACACACACACTCATAAATACATATACAGCGCGACGACATGTCCTCGTCATCTGCTGCTGCTGCTACTGCCACAGTGAATAAAAATCCGCATCATAAATAAAAAATATATTTATAAAAAAATTACGAAATTAACACACTAACAGCACCATTAAATACTCAAAAACACGGCGAAAATTGCACATAAAGTTCAAAAGCGAGCACAAGGAATTGGAAAATTAAGCAGCGAAGGAAGAGACGAAGAAGAAGAAGAAAAAACAGTATTTTTTGCGTGCGTTTTTGCAATAGGCAAAGGCGTTGCCAAATCGAAAGCATAATTAGTCAACGATTAACTTAAATATAACCAAAAACAGGCACCGCTAAGAAAAATACTTAAGAGAGAAAGAAAACTGCAAGCATAAATTAATCATACGCACCGTTAAACACCGCAAAGGACAAAAAATACAAGAAAAAAAAACAATCAAAATCAAAAGCACCAAAAAGTGAAATTTTCTAGTGACATTGTGAGCAGGCAGCAGAGTCAACCGATTTCCAGACTGCATTAATAATACATACAACAATCATATAGCATATAGGATATATAAAGGATAAAAGGAGACTCGCCACACGGGCAGAACATTCTGCCTCTTCTATTATTTAACTGCGCTTTCAACGGACACGACACTTTCAACTTGACGAAACACTGATTGAAAGTCGCTTTCAACAAACAGCATCCGAATCGCCCACTGACGTAAAGAGCGACACAGAAAGAGAGCGAGCGAGTGAAATTACAACAGAGAGATAGAGAGAGAGAGAGAGAGAGAGAGAGAGAGAGGAGTGTGCGTGTGTGTGTGTGCGACAGCAGCAGCGACGTCAACGTCAATTCGCTCAATATTTATCAATCCACGCTCAGACGCAGACGCCACTAGGTCCTGGGCTTTAGACACGGCACTTCTCTGGCTCACACATCTCTGGGGTGCCTGGCCCAAAAAACCAAAAAAAAAAAGAACAAGTCTCCAGCCGCAGCACCAAAATAAATAACATCTGACAGCTGCTGCTGGTGCTTCTCCTACTTCGACTCCACCTACTTCAGCTCCCACTTCGCATTCTTCTGGCGAGGAGTCGAGAGCCACCCAAGCAATATTCGCACGATAAACAAACTACTGCTGTAACTGTAACTGTAAATGTAACCATATAGCTGTAACTGTAACTCTGACTGTAACTGCAACTGGAACTACAATCAACAATAACAAAAAGAAACTAACAATTACGCACCGCAAATAGCGAAAAAGTAAACAACTAAAAAACACGCAATGGGTGCCAAGGAAAGTGTCGAGGCGGCCGTTAAAATGAACGCCGATGGCTGGGGTCATGTGGAGGTGTGTATACAAAATATACATAAATATATACATATATTTAATAATCTAATAACAGCTTTCAAACATAACTATCCAAAAAAATATGAACATATTTCTCTCTGTGTACTTGGCTAATGGATGCAAATGAAAAACACTTTCTCATTTACACTTTGAACTGTGTTTAGAACTTGAACTTGGATTTATTTTGGAAACTCTTATCCAGCTTATCAGAATTTCCTTTAAATTGGTCTTATGTCTTGCGTACATGTTTTAGTTTTGATACAATCTTTTAGAGCAATCTAAGGAAACTTGTAGTTTAAAGTTCGCTGCTCGAAAAAACGAAATAGGCTTGTATATTAAAATTTCCTTCGATTGTTCTAGCATCAAAACGAATTCAAATCTATGATTTTTGTAGACTGTTTTCTTTTAACTCAGTTTCATTTATCTACTAATCATCATTACTTCTTATATCTGAGCATTTTGTAAATATCAGGTCATCTAAACTCATCTGCTCTTACAGAAGGCAAGATCTCTAATCTTATCGAGAATATACAATCCTGATTGCTCATAAACAGAGACAGAGTACCAGTTTATCATTATCAATGTAGAACTGTGCTTGGCTATCTCTAAGAGAATAGAAATGAATTATAAATGTGGATTCTCTTGAATCTTTTGAACAATTACCAAAGATTCTTCTTCTTTAACATATATAACCCCTTTGCAAAGTGTGCTTTATAATAATCAATCGTTGGTCATCTTTCTCTCCATCAACTTGTCAATTGCACTCTGGCATCGCCAAACTCAATTTGTCATTGGTAGGGGATGGGGGGTACTCTGTGTCGACTGTGACCCAAAAAATTCGCCAGAACTGTCGCCACCTTCGTTCCCTATTGCATTTTGATGAGTACTTTGTGCGACAATTGGGATTGAGCGTCTGAGCGCTATTTGATTGATTTTAAAAATAAATTTCAACAAGCAGAAGAAAAAAGAAAAACAAAAAACACGTGCAAACAGCTTTGCCACAAAAACCACTAGCCGGCACCGCTGTGGCATCCACTGCCGTCTACATAGCTGTTGCCAGAGCGAGACAGAGAGAGAGAGAGATACAGAGGGAGATCTCTCTCCGGCTCTTGAACGCTGTGTGGGCGAGCCAGCAGCTCTTGAGATCGGTTACAGACAATGAGGCAGCTGCATAAGATTTACAGTTGATGCGGAGAGCTGCTTAATTTATTGAGCAAGTGAGCGAGATGAACACAGAGAGGGAGAGGGAGAGGGAGAGAGAGAGAGAAAGAGAGAGAGGTGCAGAGCGCATGAATATATGAATGAAAATGCGCTTTGATTTTTCCCTCGATTTTGGCTTGAAGTATTTAGTTGTTTGTTTGACTTTGTGGCGTGAATTTCAAATGCTCTATTCGCATTTTCCAAATATTTGTTGAGACATTCGCTCAAACACAGCGCAGTAAACAGGTGTCTGTGTGTCTGTTTGTCTCGTAACGGTAAATTGCTGTAAACAAAAATAGATAATTAGTATTTTCATACACATAGCTTATAAGGCTAGACAAACAAACTAATGTGTTCAACATATGGGCCAGTCAGCAAAAGGCTGCAGACAGCCAAGAAAACTAAACTATATAAATATAAATATAAATAAATATATATACATATGTGTCTATAAATGTATGTTTAAGGTGTACGAGAAGAATTTAAAATTAAAATTCATATATATATATATATGTATATGTACATAAAAGAGATACAGCAATGTGCAACATGTGCGCGTGTTTGTGGCTGTGTGTGCTGCAGTGTGTCAAAGAACATAAAACCCAGCGATCAGATCAAATCATAAGCATCTAAATCAAGGCAAAACTTCAAAGCATTATTTTCCGCTAGAAATCTTTAAGGTGTTTTCTTGTTGTTGATTCGGCTTTGTGTTGTTGACACCTACACGCCAGTGTTGCGTTGCGTCGCATCTGTTTACGACAATAGGGGCGGTGAGGGGTGGGTGGGTAGCGCGTTAACCGGCAGAGAGACTGCATTTTGGCCAGCAATAGCGTTGAACTCGCTTCGTTCGCACCTCTCAAACGGCAACGTGTTGGTGATAATAGCCCCAACTGCGGCAGCCGGCGTGGGTTGTTTCATCGGTTAATCACAGAGCGGCAGATTAAATATTTGTGTGTGTGGCACAAACTGTTGCCTAATAGCGCACAACTGCTCAAGTTCAAATTCGCTGTTTGATTTATGCATCAAATCTTGGTATTTCAATAAAAACCACATTTGTTAGCTGTTTTGTGTGGCATATGATGTGTCTTTTCATTCAGATATCTACATTAAACTTTACACTAGTAATAAATGAGCTGTAAGAGAAATTTATGTGTGTCACCTTAGGCTGGGTAACTTAAAACCCATCTGTGACAGCTATGATCTATTATTGATCAGAAGTATTGTTAAAATTTAATTCTGATTGTCCAAAACCTTATCTTAGAAATTTACACATTTGACTTATGTAAATTAATGTTAATGAGGTCAAAGATATCTGAAGTGATCTGAATAAGGTTTAAAAAGTGAGTTATTCCGATAATCTCTGATTCTTAACAAGTATCTGACAACTGCAGTGAATTGGGAAGTGTAGATTTATTTATATTGTTGTTTCGCTCGAAGCATTTTGAATAAAGAATTTTTGAAAAGACGGATCATTTTGATCTAAAAGAAAATCGAACAAATAGAAAAGAGTTAACTGCATAATCTCTTACTCCAAGCTGGTATTTCTAATATGATACTCAGAGCTTTACGACATTATTGACTGATTATTCCCGATCCTTACTATCTCTCCCTCTTTCTCTCTCCCTCTAACAGCAGCGCGGCAGTCGCTACCACAACCATCGGCATAATCAACGGTCGCAGTCGCTAAATCGCGGCCAGGCGCTCTCGCAGGCGGACGTGAGCGGCATGTGGTGACATCGGGGTGCCTCTGGTAAAGGTAAAATATCACCTATAAATATAGTTATAAATATGTATTACATATCAATCACTGATTCACTGATTATCTGTCCAATCAGGAGCTGCTGCTGGCTGTGCTAACTGCGCCATGGGCAACAAACTGAGCTGTTCGTGTGCGCCACTTATGCGCAAGGCTTATCGCTATGAGGATTCACCCTGGCAGAGCTCGCGTCGTCGGGATGGTCATCTATTAAGGTGAGTTGTGGCAGCAGCAGCAGCCCGCGTAGCCTTGTAGTTGACACATTTGTACATATGTTCTCTGACTGGCTGTGAATATGGAACAATAACAATTAACAACAATCAACAATTGAATTCGCTCTTTCGATAACTTTTTGTAATTCACTAATTGTGTTCTTCTTCTGGTTTTTCTTTCTTTCATCAAAAACTCAATATGTAAAACCAAAAAAAAACAAAAAACAAATGAAAAACTTTCGACTTTTGCCATCACTTCCAATAATCCAACAACAACACAAACTACAAAACCACACTTTGTTGTGCGGCCACAACAACAAACCCAACAATAACAACAACAAATATGCCACCTGCTACAACTTTTCCTTCCTCTAAAACGACTACAACTACGAACAACAACAACAAAAATAAAAACTGCGCTTCCTTTGTTTGATTTTACTTTCAATTGAATCTCCTCAACAAATTTGAACAAAATTTCAATTGGATGAAACAACCAACCAACCAACTAACCAACCAACCAATCAACAACAACCAAACAACTTTTGCAATAATAAATATGTCAACAAACCGTTTTATTAACCAAACGCTAGTTCGTTCAGGTTGTGGGCTGAGGTCTTCCACGTATCGGCCAGCGGCGCCGGCACCGTCAAGTGGCAACAAGTGTCCGAAGATTTGGTTCCTGTCAACATCACATGCATTCAGGACTCGCCCGAGTGCATCTTTCACATAACCGCTTACAACAGTCAGGTGGACAAGATACTCGACGTGCGACTTGTGCAGCCAGGTGAGTTAGACCAACTCCCCCTCTCTCTCTCAATCTCTATGTTTACCTTTGCTAATTGAATATTGTGTGTGTGTGTGTGTGTGTGATAATTACAGGCACACGCATTGGACAGGCATCGGAATGTTTTGTTTACTGGAAGGATCCCATGACTAACGATACTTGGGGCCTAAATTTCACGTCGCCCATCGATGCCAAACAGTTCCGAGAATGCTGTGTAAGTATTCTCTTACAGTTCTGTTGCATTGCATTGCAAAAACAACGCGACGACGACAAGCAACCACCTCAACTGATACCTCAACCACCAAAAAAAAACCACCTCAGCCAAACCACACAAACACTTTAGATACAAACACACCCACACATACACTCACACACACACACAGTCTACTAACAATAACAATAACATTTGGGCAGTTCTATGTTGCATGCAACCAGAATGTTGCAAGTTGTGTACAGGAACTGGCCAAAAAACTAAATCCAACAACAGCTGCCACAAATGCAAACTATACAAGTTGATGATGATGCTGTGATGATGACCGACCGTGATGAATGTTTAATGATGTTGCTGGCCAAAGTTTCTTAACCTTTTCAGTTCACTAGACAAATAAATACATAATATGTATGTGCATCTAGCATAAAGCAATCGAAACTCAAATCGCTAAGAAGTGTGCAATCATTCAAGTACGCTTTAGCTTCAATCCATGCCATGCCATGCCATTAGTCACAGTCAGTAGCACAGTCACAGTCACCGTCGCCGTCACCGTCACAGTCACAGTCGCAGTCACTGTCACCCACACACAGAGACAACACACAGAAAGACAGTAACAAAACAACGCTCTGTAAAACTGCTGCTGCTAATTACTGTTAATGTACTTATACAATTATATATATATAAATTTATATATATTCTCGTTCATTAGTTGACAACATACTCTGACAAATATTTGAAATAACAATAAATTTAAAACAATTTGGCATCGTACTTGAAATTATACCTAAGTTTTGTATTGAGATTGTGTTTTCTACTCGTTTTGTATACCATTCGAACAATTTGGCAAAAGTAAAGTAATACATATTGTAGTGATATATATATCATTTATAAGCTTTAGAAAAACCGCTTTTACACGTTGATTAACAAACATAAAAATACAATGAAAATATTTATACACAAATTAGTTGAAATTGTGAGCAATTGAGACAAAGTTAGCAGGAAAGAGAAAAAGATCAGACAGAACTGACAGCTAAATAAATGTCTAAATACTATTCAGCTTGCATACGAAAATATTTGTATTTATTTTACTAACTTTTTGCAATGTTCTGTATAAAAAATCTAACGTCTAGCGAACTCAATTTCTGACAAATTTCCAATAACTTGTACTTACTACACATACACTGCCCAGAACATATTTATAGCATTTAGTCAACATAAACTGTCTGGATTAGTATCTAATAATTGTTTCGTTTTCTTTTCTTACTTTGCGCCTCATTTGTTGCAGGTATCTTACATTGTAAAAAAATACGTTAGTATCGCTTCATATTTGTTTATTTGTCACAACACAGAACTTAACTCAACTACTTGAAACAATACTGCTGCTAAATAGAACTAATACAACTACAACTACTACTACTACTACTAACTGTTTTAACAACTCTTTTTTAATATTACTGCAGAGCAAAGATAAACTGATAAGCTGAATCGTATATATATACATAAATATACACATATATATATATATATGTATATATATACAAACCACTCTTTACGTATTTATATCTCTCTGTGTTGAAAACCCATTCAAGTAGTGCTCCCTTTGTCGGGCATGTGTAAGATCTACCATACATTGCAACTTACTAACAAACGTACATACTTTCACAAACATACACACACACGCACACACACACACATGTACATGCACAGATGACAGTCTCCTTAATCGTAACAGTTTTTGTAAGCTATTCATTTATGTGTGTCTATCTGTTCCTCCCTCCTCCTGTCGTCAACCCACCTAAACGCTCTGTGTATTTGTATCACAAGTTTTCCAAACCCAATTATCACATAACTCGCTATCTATCAGCACACGCATACCATGACAGTTCTATATGTATATTTACTATATACCAGATATATATATATTTACCAGCCAAATCGAAAACTTGCGAGCTGTATTCATTTTGTAAATGTTAATGTGTAAAACTCATAAATGTGCAAAGATATTTACTTTTGTTGTGTGTGTATTCAAGTTCCAAAGGTACCAACAACTACTACTTACATGCATACATATTCAACACACATATACAATGACGTCACACACACACACACTGTTATCCGCACACCCACTAAAATTTGTTAAATGTATTTATATTATATATTCTTTCATTTCTTTTTCTCTCTTCTAATCATTTTCAAAATCATTCTCGAAACACTCCAAAAAATAAATATATATATATAAAACAATCAAACAAATCAATAAATATATATAAATACCTATATAAAAATACCTAAATTCGTTTTCAAATATTTCATTTTTGATGCATTTCATTTGAAACTTATGAATAAATTTCGTACTTAAATTCGAAATGTAACGAACAAAAATTTGTTAACAAAAAAACTACCTACCAAAAAAAACGAACGAAAAAATAACAACAAAACTATACACGCAACAAAAACGAAAACAACAACAACTACAACTACAACAACAACAACAAATAACAATTTTGAATACATTTCTAAATGTACACTTACAAATCTGTCTCTATCTATAAAACTCTGTCCCACCCGAAATGCTTTTATTATCTAACATAAATTTTATTTAACAACTATATATTTATGTATGTATAAATATATATTTTCAACTCGATTCGTTTGCATTTGAAACGTGCGCCAACAAAAACCAAACTTAAAAATACTAAAAAAAACTAACAAAAAAAAAAAAACAAAATCGATTTGCAAAAAAACTAATGAATGAAAAACAAATGCAAATTTTGTTAAATTCTTATTATTGAATGATAATTGTATAACATGAAATTTGCGAAAAACGTACAATCAAAATGCAAAAGAAAAACGCCAAACGCTTTAAAACAATCGCACGTATCCTCTACTACAATACCGTTACCTATCCACTGCAAACCGTTTCCGATGAGCCCTAAATCCCCAAAGAACGACCCAGCCCCAACCTGATCCCCAGCCAAGTGGGCGGTTTAAATACGCAATTAATCAAAAATATCGAAACAACTTTCAAAAAACAACAATGCAAAATTCAGAATAGCAGCGCTAGGAAAACAAAAACAGAGAAGAGTGTAGCCAGAAGAGTGGGGCGAGACAAACAGTTAACGGCAGCAGTGCCAAAGACCGATAAAGGCCAACGAATAAGTTAACCATTGCCAAAGAAAATATCAAATATATATACATATATTCTTGGAGCATAATTTTAAGGTTTTTAAAACCAAAAAAACAAAAATAAAAACCAAAAAAATAATGAACAAAACCAAGCAATACGCACATGTTCACAATAATTAAAATTTTCGCAGCAAGTTAATCAAAATTAAGCTAAAGTTCACAATATTACTAAGTGTTGTTTGTTAGACTAAGTTGCCAGTTCAAATGTTGTTCTAGAAATTACGAAATACTTATAACTAAATGCGCCTAGCGTCAATTTATGCTTACCGAGCTGGGAGATTTGGAATAAAAAAGAAACACGCCACTTAAAACGAATGCACTCTTAAGGCTTCATAAACTTAACTAAAATCTAAATACTAACCTGTATGTGTATGTTTGTCTACTTCACACTATTAACTATCTATCTCTATCTTAACTAATATATATGTTTGTATTATAAGACTCAAGGCTTCAGCACATCGTCTAGTTGTACCACTACTACTACTACTATATAAACTATATGCACTCTTCTAGTAGTTCTCTTAAGATCTAAAAAAAAATAAACCACACACTAAGCAATACAGCAATACAATTTTTCGCCAAGTC